AACAAAGCTTTGTTTTCCGGAGGCCAAGCGGGTGAGACCCACTTCATGAACCACTTTCCGAGGATCCCCTGCGAGCCCGGATTCAGGGCACGGAAGCGATGAACGCCTTCCACATCAATCGATCGATCGATCCACCTCGTAATCTTCTCCCTGTCGATTGTCGCATCGTCGTAAGCAATGAAGGAAGCGAAGCGTGGATCCATTCGTCGGGGGCCACCCAGGTCAAGCACCAATCTAGACCGCCACACGTTCGCACCCTGCGATCCTTCCACTCTCGCCCCCTTCGTCTAGAATCGGGGACTCCAGGTGGGTTTTTGATTCGGGTTCTGCTGCGTGTTTCCTCGGGATTACCTCGCGAGATTTTACTAGACGCCCGGCTTTGCGCTGATCGATGCGGAGAGGTCCGCGTGCTTCCACTGCGTCTGCTTCTTCTTCTTCTTCGTCATCGTCGTCGTCATCGTCATCGTATGCACTGTTTCGCACATGGACTCCCTCGCATTGCGATCTCGAACACATCGCCCCCGCAGCCTTTCGATGTTATTAAACGTGGGGAAAAAGCGAAGTAGGGGAAGGGGGGGAGGTGGGGGGGTTGGATTCTTCATGCGGAGCTGCGATTTTATCCTCCGGAGGATGCGTCCGAACGCGCCGCTGCTGGCTAAATGGAGTGCGGCATTCAACGCTCCGTGATCGCCAACTCGGTGTTGAATGCTCAGCACATCCCGGACTGCAATTGCACCACAATACAGCCTTGAATCTCTCTCTTTATATTGGTATATATATGTATATATATATATATATATATATACATCGAGAGAGAGAGAGGCTAACTTACCGACAGAATCATTAAGCAGTGAAAACTTGTGTTATTTCGCACAGATCATTCTAACTCATGCTGCTCTTGTGAATTCTAAGTAGTAAGAAGACTTCGTTGTATCTCTTAATCTTTGTTGTATATACAAATTCACCTTATCTTATGCAACGTAACACTTATTCTTGCTAGAGTAGCATTGTCACATCAATCCACCACTTTTATATTAGTAATGATTGTGCCCACGATAATATATATATATATATATATATATATATAATTCAACATATTTTTCTTGCAAAATTTTAAAATATATAGAGAGAGTTATTTTAAATGATAAATATCATAATGATTGCCAGTTTGATTTCACATTTTCAGTTAATGCATCACAACTTAAAACAAAATAAAAAAGAAGTGAAAAAAAAAAAAAAAAAAAAAAACTACATTGTTGTGTAAAATTTGATCTATGTCTTCATCTCTTCTTGATTGTATCTACTTCTAATTACAAAATATCTCTTCTTCTTTTTTTGTATCAATTAAATATAAGACCATACAAAATATTAACAAGAACTCTAATCATTGATCTATCCTTCCAAATCAAATACTTGACTAATTAACTAATTGTAATTGCTATATTCTATGATAAGAAAGACTTATTTTCATCTAATTCAATATTTTATAATTCAATATTAAAAAAATTAAACATCAAATATTTTTCTAATATTTTAACAAGAATTTTTGATAATCATTATATTATCAAACCACAAACTTGTGCAACATAAATTTAAATTCTTCATTCAACTTTAAAATAAACTAATTTTATAAAGTCTAATTAATAAAATATATATAAAGAGAACTACTCATGTATATAATATTAAAAAAGGGATATATTTTGTACATAATCTAATAATCTAAAATATGAAAAATCAGTTTAGAACTTAGACCAATATAGGTTCATTTTAAAAAGATCTCAAATTAGGTAGATCAAATAAATAATAGTGTTAAAAACAATCTCCATGTCAAAAAATTAAATCATTTTGCAATGAAATATCATAAACATTAAATATACATAAAGTGAATTAGATAGTTTGTTTATTTTAAGAAAAATGCTATATATACATATACCTACATACACATAAAAGTATATATGTTCACATATTTTGTTTTTTTAAGTATTTTTAAAAAACGAAAAAATCCATATTTTATTACTATAAAAAGACACGCACATTATATATATATATATATATATATATATATATATATTTTACTTCTATGTGTTATTAATTGAATGATAACTACATCCTAACAGAGGTGTCTATAAACATAGTTTATTGTAAGTTATACTGATATAACAATTTTTTTGGTTTCTTAGTATCATTATATAAATTAAGGTTTGAATATATAACCTCATGGTGAAAAATATAAATTATAAAGTTATTATGGATGGTAAATTATTTAGTAGTAATATCACCAAGTATAATTAGATTATTGAAAGGGTTCTTATCTTAGGTTCTTAAATATGAAAATTTAAAATAGTAAAATAATGAAATCTCACATCTAATCTTTATGAAGTTAAATATTTGTGTAAAAAGGTCTGAAATTTGAAAATATATATTAAATAAGATTAATGAAAACATAGATGTTTATTACACACTAGTCTTTTGCATGCCCACCATTGATGAGGTTGCGAAAATTTGACAATTCTAAAAGTTACACAGTAGAATTAGCATAGTTTTTAACACTAAAAAAATTATTCAAAAATGTGAATGTTTAATTTATCAAAAGAAAATTATTTCAAAACAATCAGATAAAACGTGCAAGTTTTTATATAAAAACTACAATACTCATAACGTCAATTTCTTTTTTTAAATATCTGATATACATTATGTTACACGTTAATATTAACACAGTATGAATTTATTGAAAAATTAGTATACAAATCATCTTATTCATATAATGTATACATTAATATGTTTAAGCTTTATTAAATAAAATATTATTTAGGTGGCTTTATTATTGATATGTGTGTTAACATGTATATATATATATATATATTGATGGTGTGAGCATCACAAAAGTTCACAAGATTCTACTATGAGCACAAACCAGTCACTCAAAAAGCACTCATCATCAAATCAACCTTAATTTAAAAGGAAATAAAGTAACTTTTATTTCTTAAAACTGGTAGCATTCATTCTGATTATATACATGTACATTGAAGAAGATATATATATATATATATATATATATATATATATAATATTGGCGATTCTTAAAGCGAATAGTAAAGAAATAAAGTGATATCAGAGAAGTAATAGTCAAATGTCTAATGTCAAAGTGTATATGTGCATACAGACCCAAAAGAGGGTATCCAATACAAAAAGCAGAACAAAGACGGATAAACTGCTGGCAACTTTGCAACAATTGCCGCACAGTTCGTAGCTGAGTCAAGCGGGTGAAGAGGAGGAGGAAGAACAACAACCCATGCTAAAATAGACCAAAAGCATCTCAATTACTGGAGATTGAATTGTGTACATTTGCATCCTGATGTGTACTGTTGTGTCCCCCTCTGGGTTTAAAGATGCAACATGCACAGCTACGGTCTAGATTAGATTGCGATGTAGCTGGGCGGCAAGTTTTGTCGCCTAGTCCCATGCCACATCGTCTTTATTAGCAACGCCACCAAAGGACATGGCCCACCAAGTGACCAGACAGGAATCATGAGTATCATTCATCACAAGGAGGACCATATCTTAAAAGGAAAAAAGCAGGAAACAGAAGACAAAACTTAGCAGGTCGAAAAGGCAGAGAGAGAGAGAGAGAGAGAGAGAGCGCGAGAGAGTGAGGCGTTGGTGCTCGGTGGATGTTGTAGGAAATGTGTCCTCATACCTGCCTATGCTCCGAACCAACCAGGAGATCTAAAACAAAAAAAACATGAAACAAAACGAAAAAAAGTGAAAGGGGAGAGTTGTACATCTAAAGCTTCATATCCTTCGGTATGCTAAAGTTGCGAGGTGTCAGCTTCCCATGCAAGTCCGGTTTCGAATGCGTATGTTTTCATTGTATTCGACTGATGCACGGGCAGAGTCTGCTTCGTTATTTTTCCTTTGGAATCTGCGATGATGATCTATGGATGATTTCGCAGAAGATCGTCTTTGGACATTGATGGTATGCATATCACTAAATTGTAACAGTGACAGTGTTGGAAGGCGTGCACAAGGGGGCCATAGATCTTCAGTACTTGGCAGCCAGAGTGTCTCGAGGACAGCGTAGTGTGGCTGCACTAGGTCTCGCCAAGTGCTTGATGTCTGAAATGTGTTGTAGTAGTAGAGGAGATATCGTTAGCGTCTCAATTTTTTTGTGTTGACTTTAATCTCTACATGGTACTCGGGCTTCAACCTTCCTGAGCACAAGACGCGCCTTGTCGTCACCCATTGAGGCTGGATGATATGGTTGATTGGTATTCCTAGGTGGGGTGCAATCGAGACATGAAAAACTACCCATTAAAAGGGCATTTGTGGAACCTGCACGCACAAGCGTGAGAACGATGAAACCTGGATGCAATCTGTGAATCACAAGCGGCTTCAGAATGTAGATCGGTGTGCCAAAATCTGTGGAGTTACAAGGATATAAGCTAGTCGCAGGAGAGCTCTTTTATCACAGCAATGAGACTACACGCAGAAACTGTCGACTGTGCTGTTCGTTTGGAGAATGAACGCAAACCTCAGAAATGGCATTTTGTATGACTAATATCATTGTGATCCGACTCCCGAGCAAAATCGAGTATAATTTCTAACAACGACTCAATATGCGACGTGATGTGTAACTCAGGATTCATTACATTCATTCTGAGACACAAACTAGGCACCAACCAAAAAACCGTGACACGTCTGGCGCAAGGGCAAGCCGGCTTTTAGCCACTACTTAAATGATGCAGCTCAAAAGTACTTGCCCAGCACACTCGGCAGTAACATTCAACTCCCTTAGAACTGTCCAACGGCTCATTCGTTGTAACGTGATGCAGTGGTGAACGTTGTACATCCAGTGTAAGGAACACATTTCTCGAACCGCAGCATCACATTTACCCCGCTTTCTCCGGAAATGCGCACCCAAAGATGGAGAGCTAAATCTCGATGAAAGTACTCACCAATGAACATGACTGCAGAAATGAGACTGGTGGACTGCGAGTATGTGCTTGCAAAAGAGTGTACTTCCGGTCAGTGGCATGCTGTAATTGCAATCGTAAACGTGATTATGTTACAACACGAGATGTGACCCGCCATCTTGAAGAAGACCCATCTCTGAATACCCTATCTCTCTTTCTGTTTGGACGTATCCTTATCTCAACGTCGAGATGAGCCCAACTCTACCCTGATAACGAAACACTTGGCATCGTCGTGTAGACCTCTACACTCCCGGTCAAAAACTAAGTTGTAAACTTGTCGTTGACGTGACGCTCCCGCTACAAGCAACACATAACTTCCGCGCTGAAGTCCAATAACTACCTACCCGTGTCAATGTTGGTTAGTATCCTAACCTTCTGTGCCTACAATGTACAGGGCTCTACAAGCTGATGTCGGACTACCCCTCACAGTCATGGTACACTCTTCTAAAACCTAAAGCATCATGTTTATCCGTTGGCTCCCCTCCTTCAAGAGATAGATACACCACCAAAAATTTTGAGGCATTGGCACGAAACCTCTGTTACAAAGCGCCAGCCTCCGAAGCATCGCAGATATAACGAATTCAAACTTGAGATTATGTCATCATGAAGGTGTGGATGTTCTCCAGAGCAACCATGTTTCCCTCCGACGACGCAGAGTATGCTCCAGCGTATTGTTGGAGTGGGCGCTGGCGTTGATACGGCGCCTGTAGCCCGAAGTAGCCCGAGTGAACGGGGCTAGAAGGTAAGTCAAGAAAAGATTGAGACCAGCTCTGGGTACCTGCTGAGAGATCAGGTAGAGTAGTCATGAGACTAGAGGAAAGGTAGCTCGATGATGGGACAGAAGAGTTTGTGTAGAAGTTCCCATACGGATTGACCAATTCTTGTTGCGTTTGGGGTCGGGCGAAACTCTTCGGCAACCCAGCCGAAACTGGCTTGACAAGTGCCGGGTTCGTGTCGTCGGTGTAGAAATTATAGGAATTATCTTTTGGAAATGAAAACATCGGCTCCGACTTGACTGTGTGGGAATTGAACGTGCTGCTGACGAGTGTTGTAGGGAAATCAAACGGAGAGAACATGGGGTCGCTGTTGTCGAATTCGAAGGGAGAGTCTAAGGGACTCCTTGGCGAGTTGGACTGCTTGATACCTACCTCACCTTCGCAAGAATCAGAGACTTGAACAGCAGATTCATCAGAGACTGAGGACGAGCCACAGTTGGTAGTAGTTGACGATCCTGACCCTGAACTCGCAACAAGATCAACAAAATCCTCAGTTAGAACCGATTCCTTCCAAGTGAGACTTACTGACCTGAATTGGCGTGCACTTAATGAAACAAACAAAGGATAGTAGAGCTAGTGCACACCTTGTCGCTCGAGACTAGCTGAATCTGTGGACTGTACTCCGCCACAAGGTTCACAAGATTTATGATCCTTGCGGGTGCCAGAGTTTTCCTTGTTAGAGGTCTTCTTAAATCGCAACCTGGTATCACTGGAACCTGTGAGTTTCTGGACAAGCGACATGAAGTCATCCGGCTGGGTGTGGATCACCTTTGGCGAATACGTATGAATAATGATCGGGGGACGGTACTGTATCTGCGGGAGTGGCGACGGCGGCTTCCTGATCCGGTGAGAATCCTTGCTTACTTTCAACGAAGGGTTACTACTGCCATTCACCTGCTTCCTCAACCCAAACCGAAACCCTGAGTCCTTCATAGAAAGAGCCACCTTTTCGGCCAAATCGTTCTCTGTCTTGGCGACAGTGCTGCGCACCGAGGTTGGCGGACTCATCCTGGGCTACTCTTACTACTACCACTACTCTCTCTCTCTCTCTCTCTCTCTCTCCTTCAATGCACACTTGATCCCCACCCGTGAAACTCGTCACACGCTGTTATTGCAGACGGACACTCCACATTATCGCCTCGGCGCCCTGCTTCCGACAGTCGCAAACTAAATTTGAAAATAAACAGTCTAGAGAACACTGCATGCACAAGCGCAAAAGAACTAGATAAAGGGGGGGGGGGTGTTTGGCAACTTAAATGCGCAGGAGGACTGACGTAAAGAGCAAATGGAGAGGAGGAGGGATGGAGGGAAGGAATGAAGGAAGAGCGAAACTGGGACATCAAAAGCAATTGGTTGGTGATGAGGGAGGGAGTGGTTTTAATGGAAGTTTGGACAAGATGCTCCCACTAAGAAAAAAACCCACCTTTCGCGAGGAATCTTATGCTATCGGTGTAGGTAGCGTGAATGGGGACACTGGCAATTCTGAGGGGTATTATTTGTTTATTACCAGAAACAACCCTCCCGTATCCGTAACTATTTCAAGCTATTAATACTTGTTCAGCTATTCATAGTTTAACCACATTGCCACATCGGGTTCCGCAGCTTCTTGCTGGTGTTCCAACTGGCGTTTTGACTGTCAACTTCCCTTTGCGGTTCAGTAATAACCCCTCCCTCCGATAAGGTCCTTGTTAAAATCTCTAAACCATCCTCATACAGTTATGTTTTACTTAACGGTAAGATGTTTCGGCATTGACCAGGAGATGACCGGTACCCAGAAGGTGCAGGCAAACTGCCAGGCGGAGATTGCAGCGACTTTGGGTGGATATCAATGGAGTCATGATTCTGCACACCTGTGACTTTGCTTCGAACCCAAATAAGGATAGTAATGGCATTGTCCGTGGTAACTCCGTTGGGGGGGGGGAGTTGACCTAGTTACAGGTGCTGCATCGTCGTAATCGTGAAATCATAGCATGAGTTGTGGTGGCCCTGATGTCACTGACAAGCGCTGTCCCTTGCTGCCGCTAATCAGTGTGCAGAGTTAGGACTTGATTTTGAGTTTATTTGTAACATTTCCAAATCCAGATGGCGGAGCATTGCAGATGCGCGTGCTTGACATTCATCATCAAGCTTTTCGTGGATGAGAAGCGGTCTAATTTACCAAATATTTGGTAATGATGCTTGCAGCATCAATCAACACATGGAAACCAAGGATATTATTTTATTTTGTTTTCTTAACAAATGGTCCAAGATATTTCGACCAAGTTTGAATCATTGAGCTTGTGTGTCTACTCTTTCTTCGCTTTTCTTCTTTCGACTTATTTTCGAAAAAAATCTCGGAAATCATAGAAGATATATGTAAATATATTTTGATTGTGCCGAGTTTGTTTTAACTATGAATAAACTGACCATTTACTTTTTACTATCTAGAGAAAATGGTACGTGTATCCAACACTTACAATATAGCTGAAGTATTTACTTCAAAAAGTATGTGTTTTGTACTCTTTATAATATTAATAGCCATGTTGAAAGTGGGGTTTCAAGTCATCTGCCATTAACTGTAGCATATTCGTGGATTGGTTGAGTAATTTGGTGTCAAAAAAGACAAAAAGTCAAAAAAGAAAAGATTTAAAGAAACAAAAGCATATATCTATCATGTTCATGTCCTTTTATGTTTACTCTTTTATGTGTTTATTGTTTGGCATTGTAAAGTTGCGATGCCTTCGATAACAACAATAGATGCGCATGATTTTTTTTGTTTACTTGTTTGTTTATTTATTTTTTTTGTAAATGTAAGAGAATGCAGAAAAGTTTCCATTTGACTTCGTGATTATGGGCTGTAATACATCGCACCCTTTATAACTAATCCAAAACCATCATGAAAATTTGAAGAAGATATCCACGTTACATAGGCTTTACATCATGTAGGTTTTTCTTTTTCTCCTCCGGAATTCACGAAACCGTCGCAGAATAACCACATCTACATCATGATTTTGTTTGAAGAAAAAGAATAAATAAACAAAAAAAAAATTACACATATAAACATGTAGAGGTAAGTTAACCATACTGACATTCTCTTTATGCTCGTTATAATTACATACAAATCTATGAGTCTTAGACAGAATTTTTCATCTGTTTATTAGCAACAGGAATAATAATGCGCAGAATAAGGATTTCGAAATTAGTTTACAACGTGAATGAGGACCAGGATAACTTTGAAATGTGAGCGGAGTGCTCGACGCAAATTTCAAACCAGCCTTTAGAAATGAGATCCATCTGCCGATCCTCCTGGAACCAGCGATGCTCACGAGACAATGTCTCCATCAAATGTTCTCGCCCTTATTCGGTGCCATCCCGAATTGTCAAGGACCACCCATCTGACAAAATCTGTGCCGACCAGCTGCCGAACAGTCACCAGCTGCAACCGCTGATCTACCTTAACCTCTCTCCACCTTTAGTCTAGGTTTGCACACAAATAAAGTCTGCACAGGGAATGAATCAAGTAACAGAAACAGAAGCTGAAAACTGTTGTCAAGATTCCAGGCCCAACAGAAACCAGTTGCAATGAAAAGATTAGGCTGGATGGGCGAAGGGGAAAAGGGACATCGCCTGGCGGGAAGTGGGGGGAAAGCCGGGGAGACACGCAATAATCGAAGGTTTGGCTCACTGCGAAATGTTCGATCACGTGGAAAGCTGATCGATGCGTGTATCTTTTTAAGCTATTGTAAGGCCGACACACCAGAGGCGACACTCTGGCATCCGGCTAGGTGCCATGCTTTGCTTTGTGTATCAGAAACCAGACTGCTTCTTCCTCTCCCGGTTGCACGCTCCGAGGCGATTTAGAATCATGTCGTGTTGATGCGGAATGTGGATTCCTAGGGAGCCGCACCAGGTGATGTCGAGGCTCCCGTTTGGGCCTTGGATGACTTTCTGGTTGAGTGATCCCTGTTTTGCACGGCTTCTCGCTCCCAACTTGGAGTGGGAGATGCGTTTATTCCCCCAACTTCTGAGGATGTCTTTCACAACATGTGGAGTGTTGAAACGTCAGAGATTTTGTGTCGATCCCAGTGGTTTTTTGGTGTGGGTGCACGGAACATGCCGCATCAACATGATATGACGACCACGTGAAGAGGAAGGGAATGATGCGAAGCACAGGTACACACATTCCACTTGTTGGAATAGCTGGTATAGACTATTCAAAATCGAGAGCTGGGACACTAGTGCCCACTCGTCACTGAGTGACGAACACCCAGATTTACATATGAACTGGCACGCAGGTTTGCTGCAGTAAGTGAAGAAAATTCAGTGCCACAACAGTTCCCATTCCCTCGTGGTAATCCTGGGTTGCCTCATCATTGGTATTCACGGACAACATGGACCTCAAATCGTTGGAAACTGTGCGTTAGAATAGCCTCATCCTATCTAGCATTTTTGAGGCATTTCACAACGAAAGTAACTGAGTGAAAGTGAGTAAAAGAAAAATGAGAAGGAAAAAGGGAGAGGGGAAAAATAAATACAATACTTTGAAAAATTACAAACTGATCACGTAGAGACAACCACCGAGATAACAACCATCGACTACCTCCAGATTCGTCAACAGTCGTGCGTACGTATCGATCGCTTCTGGGAGGATTCTATAATAAGATGCCATACCAAGAGCCAAATCCTGCATCGAAACCAGTGGGAACAAGTTGAAGTAGATCTTGTGTTATTTTAGCGTACAATTGAGGCACTTCGATTTGATCCGAATGTTTATTATTAGTCATTTGGATCTAATTACCTACAGTATCAAATTTGGATGGAAGAAGGTTTTGCAAAGTCTGCATATTGTTTGGACTTTAATTGGAAAAATGGTAGCATAAATTTTGACATTACTAAGGATAATGTGTTTATTAATCCAAGAGTTTAGGAAGGGAGAAATTTTTACATAGCTCATATATCATTTTGGAGTTATTAATACATGATTGGTACATGTTTTGATTGAGATTTATACATTATACAAACTTTGTGCCCTAGAAAAATCATAATCAATGTTGCACAAATATAGGAAATGTTCTACAATCTTAATAAAACTGGGATTAAATCACTGTTATCATTTATAAATTATCAACTAGTTCTAACATTTAAAAATCCATATAAATTTTCTTTCGTGAAATAAACAGCATTTGCAAAAGATATCCCTCCAAATTTTAAATAATTTAACAAAATATAGTAAATACTCAGAGACTTATGCTCATAATTTAGATATAGTAAAACAATAAAGCCGCAGAAAACTAATTTGACTTTGTTGAGCACGGAAAAACGTTGAAGGAAATCACTTGAGATAAAATAGAAAAACAACACAACTACTCCCAAACATTTTTTTAAAAATTATTATTCCTTTATTTATAAAATATTATGATATAAATAGATCTCAATCGTTTTAGAGTAGTACTGGGTTAAAAGTGAATATAAAAAAATCAATCAAAATTACAGAGTTCTACAACAAAAAACAAAAATATGACTCTTTACTTTAGAAGAATCAAAATAACAACTTACACACATACAGTAGATAGGCTGAAATGGTATTCTTTCAATCCATGCCCTACAATTGAGGTGATGTAGGCACAGAAAGCAGTTGTTGGTACTACTCACACTAATCAATGCATCCACTTTCTGTCAAGAACAAAAATAAACAAATAAACAATTAGTTAGTGGGAGCCGCCCAGAGTGCAACAATAACGAGGGTTGCAGAGGCAACAGAGCGTTTTACCTGCCGCCTCCTCGCAGGCCCTGGTTTGCGAGCTCAGGAATTCACCATGAAGCGAAAGGCGCATCATCCGAGCTAGAAAGAGGGAAATGGAAAACCATAAACAAATCACATGTCTGGAATTCAGACCCCTCTCTAAACATAGCTGCTCTGTAGAGTGTGCAGAGGAATGGCCCGAGCGCCGCCTTCGGAACTGCAATGGTCGGTCTGATAATCCGGGGCGCCCTGAAAGAGCATTACAGTGGGGCCAGCAGCTCTGGGCTGCTGCTGCAGTGTCTTTCTCAGCCTACTGTGCGGAGCGGAGCTTTTAGGGCCATCCTCACCACATTTTTCCTTGACCCGCCGCAGGCAGCAACAGCAGTTGAAGTAGCATCAACCAGCATCTGGCCCCAAATAGCCCTCAAGCACATTATCTCTCTTGCCTCCTTCCTTTCTCATTATCGTCATCACCACCACCACCACTACCTCCAGCCTTCGGATTCATCTTGCACTCACAGCAAGCGTCACTCCAGCCTTGCAATATTACAACAACATCCAACTACTACTATTTCTCTTCTCGTCTCTTCTCGTCTCTATTCTCTTCGCATGCCAGCTTCATCCCACGCCGTTCACTTCGTTTTTTTGTTTTGTTTTGTTTTTCCCCGCTCCTTCTCGACT